ATCGCCTATGTCAGTTCTCCTGTCACTAACTATCGAGTAACTCGAGCTGGTCCCTGCTTAGTTCTGCAGTCTTTATAGTCGTATCTTCGAGTGGACAATGTCATGCGTATTTGGCGAAAACAGAGGGTTTGATTTCTTGGTCTAGGATTTCCGTGAGGAAGTTTAATCATTGAATAACTTTCTATCTACTTCCTATTATTTTTTCTTCGCAGGAAATTATGTGAAATACAACCACAACCATATTGAGATAAAGTTTGGAAGGCAAGTTAAAAATGCCTCTGAGGAAGACGATACAGCCGAAACGTCAGTTTTAACGAAATAAAGAAGAAAGTACAGCCTTGTGTTTCCTCAGTAAGAATATTGACATAGTGAGATATTTGCAAAATTTGGAGCACAGGCCAGATTTGAATCCTCAATTATCCTTTCCGGGGCTCAAATGTTTTTCACTGCACCACAGAGGCCCTTGCTTAGCCCTTCACTCAGCCAGTTTTCTACCTAACAGTGTCATCAGGAATCACCCGTGAACTGGGCTGATCTATGGAGTACAAATCACCACTGGATCTTTTACGGGTAAAAAAAACTGGTTGATAGAGAAGCAGAACGAAAGCCTCAGCGGTGCAATGTTCGAATCTGGCTTAGGGTTCAAGGTTTGCAAATATCTCAACGCCATTGTGCTTGTATTTACCCACCGAGTTGGTGATGTTGTTGTTGTGTGCTTGTGGTTCCGTGAAACAAATTGCGCAAGATCTACTGCCTGGCGGTTCCTATATTAGAATGGCTGCTGCTTTTGATAACCTCTAATGCGCTACCACTCATTTGGAACAGAATATTGTTAATCGGAATTGGAGAAGTTGGAATTTACAGGTCTTTGCTAGCAAAAAACCAGTTGTTTGTTTGCCTAACATAGAATTCCCAAGTTTTCGAAGCAACAAATTCACCGAAGGCAATTTTTTGTAGTGATTTCCTTACCTGAGGTTTCTTTAGGCAGTAGTGATCAAGATACTTGGAAAAAGTTATTGTTCATTAAATGGAGTTCGAGAAGTACCTTGGGTAAGGAGGTTTTGGTAGCCTAGCTTATTCAACTTTTCTAGCTCTAGTTGTGGAATGTATGGTCGCCAGATGCTGTGGAAAAAGATGGAGTTGTAGAACCTAATCATTATCGTGGCAGTACTCTTCCGCTGTGGTCGTCGTGCTAAGATTGAAGACATTTTATTAGGTGATTACACATAATGAAAAAGAATAAATCATCTTGACGATTTCTTACTGCAAATTCCGCTTTGAAAGAGACTTACAAGCATCATTTCATTTCATCGTCCTTGGTGAATGTCGGTTTTCTGCCGTATAAAATTCGTTTTCACTATTATCACAATGCGATCGAGAAATGGGTTATCCTTGTTGTGTGGAAGATCGGTTGGTGTGGAGCATAGCAGGTTTGCGTTCGATAAATGTAATCGCAAGTTCGAAGTCGAACTGAGGTCCCGAGTTTTGCTCAAATCTCAGTATCCCCACTTTTTGTGTTTCACATGGTACAGTGCTATGAAAAAAAAGAATAAGCAGTAAGTAACAGTTCCAGCATAGTGGTACCCTCAGTTATTTTCTCAAGCGAAAACTTCTGTTACCGTCTTCAAACGGCCATCGATGTACACACTCGAATTCTCCGCCTTGAAGATTCATGTCTTTGGAAAAAGTCTTTTGAACCATCGGCGCACTTGGCCTATGGAAGTCTATTCCAGGCCCATATTGCGATGGAATTTAATGTTGCTACCGCTGCTTTACGTTCAAGTTTGAACTCATCAAGCAAAACTACTGGATTATCTTCCTTCGAGAGAATCATTTAAACTGATCTAAAATATATCTACTTGGATACTTTAACCGCACGTCCTCACTGGTTGGGCGGGCCCCAGCACAATCTCCATTGTTCGGAGTTTTGCTGGTCTAGCAATTATGGTCCCCTGGAGTACCGAGGTCAGCCTAGCCAAAGTCTGCCCCAGGTCGTCACCACCACAGGTAGTCGGCGCCTTTGTGATCAGGAGAGATTTACCACCATGCGACTTTGATACCAGGACGGTGGTGAATCCTGGTATTGGTTTACTCTTAATAGGTTTCCTGACGGAACCGCCGGACTCCTTCTCAGGAGATCCTGCCCTACGATGAATCCTCCGCTGTACATCGCAGTCCGACACCCAGGAACGTCTCCTGGTCACGATGAGGCGGTAAATCGTTAGGAGGTGTCTAAAGCAAAATGTTGAATAGGGAGTAGACTTCAAAACGCTATACATCAATCGTGCATGCAATGAATATTTATTTCGAAATTAACTTCCCTTTAACCTCGGTATTCGTTATATTTGTCAATATTTGATATATTATTTCAATAATATATTTATCAACCTCGTGTAAGCTCATCAAAGGAAGAATGCGTAATGAACATTTATTCTAAAATACGCCTGACACAGACTTTGGCTAGGCTGACCTCGGGACTCCAGGTTACCACAGTGGCTAAACTAGTAAAACTCCGAAAACGTGGAAACCATGCTTGGGTCCGCACAACCAGGTGAAGGCAGGCCATCCAAGTGTACAAGTAAGCTTCGAAGTAACATATGCGCAGTTTCCGATCCTTCACTATCAACGCTTTGACTAACTTGTGTGACGTAGGATGCTCCCAATATTCCTTCCGATAACTCATTCGAAAACCTCTACTACCAAGTTTTCCTGTTAATGTAGTGTTCGGGTTCTTGAGATGTACGTTAAAGATGGCTAAATTCTCGTTATTGGTTGCTATGATAAAGGATGTCTATGCTTTGCACAGGGTGCAGTCGTTGTACAAGGCTTCCATGAGTACTTTGTCGCAATGGAGCTGATGACCTTTTGAAGTCACTAAGAATTTGGTTTCCATATGGATTTGATCCATCGCTGTGAACTCCTTTCAAGACCTTTCTTGTTCTTATAGTTGTCATTCCTCAAGCGTTCTGTTAGTCGTGTCGTGGTTGATCTCAGTAGCCGGTGCTCTGGTGAAGATTATTTCAAGTTCTCCAGATGTTCAGGTCTGATCCTGTCGAGACTGAGTGCTTTACGGTTCTTCATGGATGGACTAATATGTTAAATTTTCCTAAGCGAATACTGTTAGGATGGAAGTGAAACTGATCGTGAGAGAAGTCGAAGTCATGTATAGCATTATTCAACCATTCTTGATTCAGACCCAGTCCACATGGGAAAAGCTTAGTATCTCAGCTATCTAAGGATTCCAGGAAGAATGGACGCGATCAACATTAGATAATATTCGTGACAAAGACGAAAAATCCTTAAGCATCAATCGAATCCACACGCAAAAAGTTTGAAGACCAGATGGTGGATGCGAGGAAACGAATCGAATACGGGAGATGCTGGGATCCGCACACCATGTGATGTCGAGTTATGTAATAAATGAAAGACAAAAAACTCTCCTACCTTCCCTTTCGAAGTTACTTGATTTAGTGACATAGACGACGGTGAATGTCGAAGCCTACCATCATCCTTTAAGATTTAAAGGTCTGGTTCGTTAGTTATTCAAAGCAAATGGTGTTAGTCGTCAAGAACGTGTACACAAGTGGATGAACGATGCCAGTTATTCCAAGGAGTAGTTCTCCGATATCATAAATGGAACCTAGTCGCCTTCTACTATCGACTAGACATAGATTTTTACTTGATTCCCTTAGTGTGCATCACCAGGTCTTTGAAAAAGGGTTCAGAGTCTCTGGTTCAGATTCCCAGACTCCTGATTTGGGATCACGAGATCGCATTAGAACCTAGCGTTGAGAAGTAAGTTTCGAGTCGTCGGCGTTCCATTTTTGAACTTCATATCATTCTATTTTATTTCATCCACACAAGTGTTGTGACTTATTTGCTGCTTCGCTCCTCCAGCGTTCCAGCATTATTTGACTGACTCTAGGTGAACAGGCGAGGCTACTAGTACCACTTGCTCAGCCACCGTTGCATGCTGTTCGTCGTGCTCTTCACTTCTAGTGATACCTTAACGTTCTTAATTAACTCCATAATTCTTCCGATATGATAGTTCGACCGGAATGTAGTGGGTAACTAATCGTAATTGCTGAAAGTGAAAATAAAAGGTAATGTTAAGAAACAAGTAATGGATAGTACAAAGACAGCTGGCCGTGATGTCTACTCACACATTTTTTACCTGAAGGTCTCCTTAGCTTCATTGCCGTGTTAGACCAGACAAGTTAGGTTAAGTGCATTTTCGAGACATCGACAATCGTTGTGAAACTCCTCGTCGGAAGTTCCTCATCCTCCATTTGCAAAGCTATTTAGCCTATGTAGACATATCGAGATCTGTTGATTACATGTATTCTGTATATTGTCTAATATAAAGGATAAAGGATAAAGCTCTCGCCGTTGATCAATCCCTGAAGGATGCGCCATGCATTCGACTTCATTAAGCATCGTTGGAAGTTATTGCATGCACATCTGGCCTTTACAATGGCTCGCCGTGGCCTACCGATGTATCGAACCTGTGCTGCTATCCTCGCGGATAAGTCTGGTACCAATTTGTCAACCCCGGAGGGATGAAGGGTTGGTGAACCTGAGGCGTGGGGATCGATCTCATGTGTATTGCGGTACGGCTCCGACCACACCGCTTCGCGCGCCCTAAGTTTAGGGTTATAGAAGTTTAAGAAGTTTAGGGTTATATAAGGCGCAAAGCAATGGCTTGCCGCTTTAAAATTGTATTTTTTTAAAATTGAAGAATCGTTGAAGTGACTTCCCTGACATACTTCTGTTATAATTTCTTTGGAAAACCATTTTTAGGAAAAGGTATTTTTACGGGTTCCTGTCAGTACCAATTTCATGCTCTAAAATATTACCGTAGTTAAAGGATCTTTGTGTTATGTTGACTGAGGGGCATTTCATGAACGTTGTCTTGTACTTCCTTCCTTCATCTTCGTTGTTCAAGTTGTGTCCTGAGAGCTACTGTGCAGTTGTAGTTAAATTTAGGTGTTCAGGGCAGTATGTCAGACGTCGAAGAGACCATCAAGCGAATTCAGTCCCAAAAGGGTGTCGTTGGCGTGATTGTTATGGATAGTGCTGGTTAGTCTTGGTTAGTTTCTATTGAATCTAGGGTTGTTCTAATATGGTAGGACCAGTTTTTTCGTTCTCCAGCTCAAATTTGAGAGTAGTTAGGATTCCTTTAAGTTGTTCCCGAAGTTTTCGAGAATATCAGTAAGTGACCGCTCCGCTTAGGCCGAGCTATCCGTTCCACACTCGATGACGACTCCACTACGAAGCACTCGTCACTTCTTCAGCAGCTTTGCGAGAAGTCGAAGGAAGTCGTACGAGAACTAGATGGTTCCAACGATCTGACATTTCTGCAGCTTCGGACAAGGAAGAATGAAATAATGATTGCACCCGACAAGGACTATCTTTTGGCCGTCATTGAGAATTTAGCCCCGTGACTTTCACTTCCGCCGTTATCCCTGAATATGGAACGGTAATAATACGGTGTGACTTCGTCTTCTGAAGCCATCATGATTTTTTTTTCTTCCTTTTTGTGTTTATTTTCTAGCGCTAGTGGTAAGATTGAGCTCACCACCATCTGATGTTGAGGCAGAATGTGGAGCGGTAACAGTACATATTCCCGGTATTTTCTTCTTTACTTCCATAAAAATCCGTAGAGTTTAGGTTTGTATTGTATCTCATTTGTTTAATTCATGGAACACTAGCAACGTAGCCTCATAGTTCTACATCCTAGTATGTTTTTAATGAAATAAACTTTTTTGTATAGCTTTGTGCATTTGGTCCGGTTTGATCCTTTCTATGTTTTCATTTGAATTTATAGCGGCCCTTTCAGTTTTTCAGTTATATAAGTTGGAGATCTAATCTCAACATGTCGTGGTTATTTGGAATGAAGCCGACTCCGCCACCGGAAATACCGTCGAATTTTAACCCACCAGGTGGTAGTACTCCACAAGATCCTGGTGGAAAAGGTATTTTGTGACATTCTTTTGAAAGTTGGAAGATGTGTTCTGATAGGAAAAAACTACCCTAACAACTTTTGAGGTCAAGCAGAAAAGTCCGCGCGGATGGCTTATTCCTTTGACTCCACTGCTTTGGAAAGGGCGGCTAAAGCGGCAAGAGATCTAGAGAGGTTTCCGAATGCTAAAGAAGCTCTAGAACTCAGTCGTATGCAAGAGATCACACGACAAAAGGAAATTGAACAACAAACTAAGGTGTTTCTTTAATTTAGCATATTGGTAGTGACGTTTTTTAAATTTCGCTATGTGTTCTGTTAAATCGTACTGGATCGTTCGATGGACTAATCGTAGGAGTCACTCCCGTCCTGGAGAAACCCTGGTCGGAGAGGGACACAACTTTCTAGTTCGCTGCCAAACGGCCACACGAATCAAACAGACGAAGAGAAAGTACATGACTCCAACGTATCTCACAAAAGAAGACGGCCAAGAGCTATAAAAGAGGGTCAGCAATTGATGTAGTCGATGAGAAAAAATCACTTTAGTGGCACTACAACTAAAAAGTGTGTACTCTAGGAAATGTTTGAGTGTGTGGCACAGTGGTCCGAGGCGCCCTGCGGTGCACATGGGATCGATCTCCGCGCCCAAGTCTCACCAAGCCTTCCATTATTCCGCGGTCGGCGAATTGGTAGCAGACTTGTCTGGGAGAATAGCGATACTCCCTCGATACATCGGCAGGCCACGGCGAGTCATTGTAAAGGCCTGATATGCATTCAATCACCTTCAACGTGAAGTGGTGGATTGCATGGCGCATCCCTCAGGGATTGATCAACGAGGAATGATTTATTCTTCTTTTATGAGATGTTTTTATCATAAGTCCACCATCCTTGAAGAATCAGGTTAGAGTGAATAGGTTCGAGGTAGGAAGGAAGAGTATAAATTGCAGCCTAACTTTTGAATCGTTTTTCAGCAATTGGAAGCACAAATACAGTCGATGAAATCAGATCAAGCCCGTATTGCTGAAGAAGAGCGCCGGAAGACTTTAAACGAAGAGACTAAACATGCGAAAGCTGTGAGCCTCCTTTTTTGTTTTGATTTTGGTATATTTTCTGTGAATCTTCCTCTGTTTCGCTGGTATTTTACAAAGAACGTGCTTTGGTTTAGCGAGCTGACTACCAAGACCAGTTGGCACGAAAACGTGCTGAAGATGAACTGATTATGAAAAATAGAATGCAGGAGGAAAGCCTTAGAAAACAGGAAGAGAGCGTTAAGAAACAGGAGGCATTGCGAAAAGGTATATTCATTTTGTCGTCCTCTGGGAACTGCCGTACATCGTAGACGTTGTACTGTTTTCAGAAGTGGGAAGAAAATGTAGAAATGGAAATCGTAACTACTGTTACCTTTATTATGTTCATTCAAGAATGTACTTATAGCTACCATCGAGCACGAACTGGCACTAAAACACAAGTACGAGTTGGAAAAGATAGAGGTAGAAACCAGAGCACGTGCTAAGGCTGCTAGAGAGAATCGGTGAGTTGCTGCCAATTCGTTTTTAGTAGTAACAGTGCTATGTGGTGTATCATCTAACTGTTAACCTGTTCATTTACAGTGATGTAAATCTGGAACAAATGAAGCTTCACGAGGAAGAGAACAGGAAAACGGTTGTCGAAAAAATAAGGTATTTTTGCTTTGGTTAATGCTTGGCGTTTCCTTGGGAATTAGTGAACGTTCAGTGGATACTGCAACAAAATGTTACCATGTGCACGAAAGTTTTTGTTCCAGAACAAGTGGCCTTCTTCTTGGTGCTGGGCTTCAGGATTTTTTGTCTGATAAGAGCAAAATGACTGCTGCCGTAAGTGAAAGTGCTAGTTTAATAGCCACTATTGATCGTTTTTGTTTGTTTTTTTACATTAAACTCGTTCAGGTCGGTAGTTTAACCGCTCTAGCTGTAGGATGGTATGTTGCTAAGCGTGGAACCGGTAGGCTGATATACTCTTCATGCCACATGAGCTTTCATTCTTCTTATAACTTGTGAAACATTATACAGGTTAAAATTTGCTATAGCCACATGTTCAGGTGTCGTGGCTCGATATACTGAGGCGCGCTTGGGAAAACCTAGTTTAGTGCGAGAAACCTCTCGCATCACGCCGTTGGAAACTCTTAAGCATCCATTAAAAACAGCAAAAATGCTTTTTAGATCGAAGCAAGACCCTCTAAAAGGAGTCGTTCTTGCGGTAAAAGATTTCCGCCTTGTTCTTTTTCTTTCTACGCATTAGAAATTAGTGGCCTCTTTATTTTAGCCAAAAGCGGAGCGACGACTACGGGACATTGCCATTACCACATCGAATACTCGGCGCAATAAGGTATTTTGTAGTACTGCAGTCATATTTTTAATCTCGAACAGCTCCATAATGCAGTTTTAGGGTCTTTTCCGCAATGTGCTCTTCTACGGTCCTCCTGGCACAGGTAAAACACTGTTTGCAAAAAGTTTGGCACAGCATAGTGGTCTTGACTATGCCATCTTGACTGGTGGAGACATTGCGCCAATGGGACGTGATGGTGTGTCAGCGATCCATAAAGTTTTTGACTGGGCACAGAGTAGCAGAAAAGGGTATATGTTTTTAATTAGTAAAACACATTTCCTCCAGTAATTTACCGTCCCGTAGTTGCTGGAAATGTTCTTGTCTACCTGGAATGCACAGGAATACTCATCTTCAGCTGGGCCTCTCAAGCTGTGTTGCTTTGACCGATCGTTGAGTTGGAATTGCGATTGCGTGCTCTTGTATTCGCTAATTGACCCGTGATTGTGGGATTTCTATGAGAAGTTGAAATGTAGTTTTTTCCTGCACAGTCTCTTAATAATTGCTTACTGAACTCCCTGACAAACGTAAAACGGGGTCTACATGGCCAAAAACCACCAATTTCGGTTTGTTTCTCATGTAACCATGTGTTTTTCTTCAATAGTTTTTCCGGTTTATTTGCAGTCCTGTTCTTTTTCACATTTTATTAAGTCCTTTGACAATTTTCTTCAATTCATTGGTGCCTCTGGAAACGATGACGATGTTATTGAGAAACGTAGGTTTGATAGTTTCCTGTTATTGCATAGGCCCGAGTGAAACACGGCGTCGAGAAATTTCCCTACTTTTTTCTTGTGGGATGTCAGTGGTCAGTTGAGAATCTTGTTTGCTGAACTAGTTGATCTTCATCTAAAACACTGTATTTGCGGTAGGAAAGTCGTCGTACAGACTGTATAGAACGGTATAAAAAAGACAAGAACATCGAGTAATAATTACGGACATTTCTTCGGTCACTATTACTGTAAATATTAAAGCGCGAGAAATCCTCACTGTTGAGGAAACTTCTTTTGAGAATATATTCTCACATGGATTGTGGGAGTTTTGTGCAATTCGTGCTTTTCAGTCAGAGAAAAAGTTGGATATGACGTCTTATGCCCAGTTTTTGGTCGCATTTCGGATTTCAAAAGTAAAGCTGGATGGTTTTCCACCGATAATGGTTTTACTGTCTAGAATGGGAGTGCTGAACCGGGAAATATTTTAGCGTTACTTTTCCGTTATCAATTTTATATCCTGGCGTGGAGTGATGGTAATCATCTTCAGTTATTACGGCTATAGCGGAACATTATATAGGCATAGGTACCAGTGAGATCCGTTCAGGGTGCATTTTCGATCGTCAAGGCCGGCCTTCATTGAACGGCATAGAGCAGGAACAGCCAAAGGATGATTCGCCGTCTTGAAAGCAGGTCAAAATGCTCGGCGACGGATTAGCAACCGTATAGAAGAGAAGGGCGCTACCGAATGAGGTCATTCCATTTGAGTTTCACTGCAAAGATTCGACTCGATGTGACTACAAAGATACACATTGCAATAACGAACGGTTGTAAACAATTCTGATCATCCTGGCTGCGAAGAAGAGAAGGTGCAGGAAATTTAGTCGAATAAACGCTTTCTACCAACCTCATGTTGGTTTAATAATCTAGGAAAATGTTGTCCTTTTTGAGCTTCTCCTAATAATTAATACCGTGCTATTACAAATTCTTCAAAGATCTGCATTTGGCACTTCTTACCAACCGTATTAGGTAGTGGTGCAGAGAATCTAGCTTCAGCTTTTTCTATTTTGGAATAACTTGGTGATGGTAGAGAGATCCAGACTTCTTAATTGACATCTTCGCCGCTCTGCGGATGAAATGTGAACAGTTTTCTTCTCGGTTGTTTATTTTTAGTGCAAAATTTGTTGTAATGCTATCCTTTTTGTATTAAATCAATTACTCACCTACCACGGATATTTTACCTCTGGGAAAAATTTCTTTCCCTGAAATTTTGAAATAACACTGCTAGAGCTCACGTCTAGAAACACGACACTATATGTAAAAAAAAATAAATGCCGTGGTTAATAGAAAGTCGGACGTGGGGGTTACTATATATAAGCATTGGCTTACTCTCATCCCGGCTTTCAGTAGGCTGCTTAACTACTTGATTGAGAGACCCAGCTGGTGGTGAATTCCTGTTGGTCGGTATGTCGGTCGGTAGCCTTCAGATATATTCCGAACTCACGACGAGCTATTGTGGAAATGAATGTTTTAGTTCTACAAATTATGGATTTCCATCTTTGAACGGTTAAGCCAAGAAGATAAGAGGAAGAACTCGCTTTTTTAACAAAAGGGTTAACAATAAGCGAAGAGAAAGTGTCTTTTATTATGGTTATTCGTGATATGATGAGAAAAGCTTTGAAAACTTGTTTATGACGTGTTTGATTCTACTTTTTTTGCCACTTGGTAACTTCTCCATACTATTGTTCAATATTCTTCATATTCACAATAACCGGCAGTGTCATGGTTGAACACTTATCTTTTCAGACTTATCTTATTCATCGACGAAGCTGACGCTTTCTTACAGAAGCGGTCAAAAGTAAGTTTTATCACCGACCACCCAGTTGTTTTTGTTTCACAAGAATGCTGAGGTATGAGCATAACTCGGAATTTCAGGTGGGCTTCGGACCAGTGATTCCCTTCAGTTTAACTGGTCCAGTGCCAACTTGTGCTTCCAAAATCGTTTTCACTGACTTAATTTCTGATATCATCGATAGAATAAAGAAAACTGCGTGAGAGAAAGGCTAGGGTTCGGTTGGTATGGTGTCCACCGGTAAGCGTAATCGCTGGTTCGAAGCCCAATTGGGGTTCCGAGTCTTGCTCATATTTCGGCAACCTCGTGATAGCTCACATCGGACCCTGCTATAAAAAATAATAGCCAATAAATAAATGGAAATTAAGACATTGTTGTTGTTTCTTTTTTTCACAAAGGCTTTGTAATTTCTGTGTTAAGTGACAACGTAATTTTTAGCAAGCTATGACGGAAGACACTCGCGCTGCTTTGAATGCATTTCTTTTCCGTACCGGTGAACAGTCTCGACACTTTATGCTCGTCGTTGCGTCTAATCAACCAGAACAATTTGACTGGGCCGTTAATGATCGGTATATTCATTTTCGCGTCATAGAATAACACAGCCTTTAACTACCGTCTTTCTTTCGTTCTTTAGTGATTTAAAGCTTGAAAAAGTGCATCCCTCTGAATCAGAAGTCTGAAATGGATTCCAATTAGGTAATGTACTATAAGTTTTAGGATGGAATGCCCCAATAACTTTTGAGCAGGAAATTAGCTTTCCTTTATGCCAAAGTCAAATCTCATACGTTATTACAGTTTGGATCAACTGGTTGAGTTTGAACTTCCTGGCCGAACAGAACGCGAGCGTATTTTGTTGCAGTATTTCGAGGAACATATTGCCAAGCCGGCGACTAGTGGTGGGTGGCTTTTCTACATAGATTTGTTCTCATTGTTTTCCTATAATATTTCCAAAGTTGTTGTCCTCCATGTGAACAATAGCAAAGGTCCGCTATACCTGGGTGTACACTTGTTTCCCCAACAGTTTATCAGCTACTTTTTTTTGCAGTTTATCAATTACGACTATATAGGTGCGAGAGGACAACGGCTGAAACTGGGCAAATTCGACTGGATAGAAGAATGTGCTAAGGTAGCAGACTTGACCGAAGGTATGAGTGGGCGAGAACTCAGCAAACTTGTGATAGGATGGCAGGTTTGAGTTCATTAACATCTACGAACAAACGTATCTTCTATACACTTCATATCAGTGTACTGAAATATGAACTTTTGCAGCACTTTTGACCTTGTTTCAATAAACTCAGCCAGACCGAATATTGCCGAATAAAAAGAATAGGCGGATCATTTGGCGAATTCTAATTTCGCAAACTTCCGGATTTAATGGAGGATCCTGGGAATATATATAATTTCTAGCCGTTAAATTAAGTTCACTCAGAAATACACACAATTCTTCCTGAATATAAATTCTTTTCTCAAGGTCTCTCGACTTGTCTAAGGAATTTAGTAGGTCTTTCCTACGAGCACGAATAGAATACTTCTGTAAACAGGTAAGGTTCTTCATTCTTCACAAGGTTATCCGTGACAAATGTGGACGCAGCTTCAAAGATCGCACATTTGCTGCATAAAGAAGGGTAGAGTTGTTCCCAGAAGTTCTCAGTGAAAGGTGACTTGGTAGAAGGCGAAAACCTACTAGATAGCTTTCATTTGTGGAATTGGATATTTGGATGCATAGACGACCAGCCCCCACTGGTTGTGCGTGCCTCAGCATAATTTTCACTTCGGAGTTTTGCTGATTTAGCCGTTGTGGTTCTCTAGAGTCCCGAGGTCAGCCTGGCCAAAGTGTGCCTCAAGTCGTCACCACCACAGGCAGTCGTGTCGCTGCCCATGTGGATCAGAGGGAGATTTTCAATCATGCGACTAGTTTGATAGCAGGACCGTGGTGGATCCTGGTATTCGTCTACTCTTAGCTCTTCCTAAAAAATACGCCGGACTCCTTCTTAGCTTGGTAGACCCTGCTGGGGAGACGAATTCCCCGTTATACATCGCAGTCTGACACCCAGGAACACCTTCCATTCACGATGAGGCAGTAGACCGTTGGAAGGTGAATTTACGGATTATGTTCGATACTGAGTACTCAGTATGCTGCAAAAGTACTGTCGAAGATGGTTAGGATTTGCTTCTAGGATGTCTAAAATTCGTGATAAATCTCAGAAAATGTTGAGGAATTGATGTTGTTGATCTAAATGCGTTAAAGTCATTTGGAAGTGCTACCCTGGTTTCTTCCTCACAAGGCACTTAGCCTGTACTGCTTTCTAAAAGTCAACGCTCGATGGAAAACAGGGTGCAAAGGTTCTTGTTAGCTCATATCAGCTAGTGAGAGTTAAGAAGACGAAGAGCGCTTAATTACCATGCGTGCCAAAAAGATAGTTATTGTTGTTTCTATATCACGCTGAGACAGTGCGCATGAATAAGTTGAGATAGTGGCGTAGAAACTGAGTGAATAGGAGTACCTATTCTTTAATTGGCAAGCAGGGGTGGATAGCGCAGTGGTAGTGATGTTCGTCATCACAAGCATGGTGCTAGGTCGATTCCGTTCCTGGCCAACCAAGCCTCTCATCCCTCCGGTTTCGGTAAATTGGCACCGGACTTATTTGTGAGAAAAACCACTCTCTGCAATCCAGTTGGGAACCCTGCAACTGGGCTATCTCAGTACTCTAGGGAGAATTGCTCGACCAATACTCTACGACATTCAAAATGAAATGGAAATCCTCAAGCTGCAACCGAAGCCACGCGTGAAGTTCGAAGATCTTCGTGGACAGTGGATGCGAAAAAACGAATCGAATGTGAGAAATGCTGGGATCCGCATAGTAGACATGAAGATGGATTGAATAAAATTTAAAAAATTGACAAACTAATGCAGGGCTGATAAGAAGTTTGTTCGGCTAACATTTTGACGTGCTCGTATTCAGATCGATGGTCCACGTCGTTCGTCTTCTCGTTGTAGGTCTTCGTGAATAGAAATATTCTATCTCTATATGCATCGACAGTAGTCGTCAAATCTTGTAACAACTGAATGCCGCTTCTCAAGTGTAAAACTAACTCTAACATCTGATATGAGGGCGGTCCTGCAGGCGTTCAGCGACTGCGGAAATTTGGGTTTGTTTTTTTTACATATTTACATGACTCTTCGTCACACTACTGTGCGGGTCTCAGCACTTTTTGTGTTCGATTCGTTAGCTGGCATCGAACACCCACAATTCGATTCGAACATCTGGCTTGCTATTTCAATTGCTACTTGAGTCGTGTCGCCTTGCTATCTAGGAGGTAACTAGGCTTAGTAGGGGTTCCCACGTGGATTGAGGCAGAGACTTGGGAGGAGGTTGAACCAGGGTCTTGTTTCCTGGTTGACTGCATTACTAACCACTGCGCTGCCCTATGGGCACATTTTAGGACTTTGAATAGTGATGGATTTCAACAAAGGTATTAATCTCTATGAATTTTTGAGATTTAAAACACTACTGCGAAATCCGCCAGATTCTAGTTAATGATGTGAACTAAATAAATCCCATTAGGCGTCGGCTTACGCCTCGGAAGATGGTGTGCTTACATCTGAGATGATCGATAGAAATACAAGCGACGCAATAGCACAACATGAACATAAAATGGAATGGCTTGAAGCGGAGCAACTCGCTGCAAGGAATAAGGAGGTAAGACTTGGAAGGAAGAGGCTTAATTTCCGCCATCTAAGTCCGCAGTCGTACTGTATGTTCAGGTAGTATTTGGAACGGCACTTAAGAGAGAAACTGCAGTCTAAATCCGGTTTTCCAGTCTTGCAGATTGCTTGTATGTTACAAACAATGCACTGAATCTACAAAATTTAAGTACCTATTAGTCGTTCTAACAGCTATAAATGTTAGTTATATATCCTATATGTTGTTGATTTTATATGTTTTCATTGTTGATGGGATGCATAGGCGATAACTGGATGGATGTTGAAAATGATTTGTTATGTTTATCACAAACGTTGACCAGAGTGTACTATGTTTGAAGAAATAAATATACTGATAATAAATGTACTGACTCCGCATTTTGGAAAATCAACAAGGCACAAAGAATAGATGAGAGAGAATTGCACAATACTCTAGGTGGGATTATTTAGATTATGGGATAAAAACAATTGATACAGAACGAAAGAACATCACGAATCGTTCGACGGTATGTGCTTCACGATGTGATCCAAGTCTGCTTCGACCCCGTCTATTATTTGGTCAATTTCTAAGAAATGTAGGAATCATGGCACATAAAAAGTATACGTGACCGTGAATTTTAAAAGAAGCTAACATAGAAGGATAAAAGAAGAAGCCTACCTTCAAGCATCACGTGGAATCCAAAGTGAAGATATAAAATAAGAATGGTATGAAGGGTAAGAGCAGCGCCTGCAAGAACCACGCGATGTGATCGGATATGAGCATTCGTGGATACCAGAAGGCTCTGGAATCAGGGCTATAGTTGAGTAAACAACTCACGATTATTCAGTCACACTTCGCAACATACGAAGGTTTATGAGATATGGGAATCAAGCGAAACGAATAATAAGGAGATAGCTAGTAAAAATGAGCACCATTCTAATAGAGCTTGGTATGCAGAAGATCCCGACCAGGATGAAGAACCAAAGATGGTCGTGAGAGGTGTGGTAGATAGAGGTGAGCAGCAGCACCACACAGTGTGATGTCAGTGAGTAACCCTAAGGAACTGTAGTGATGACCTACATAACAAAATATTCGGAATAGCCAGTTTGAAGAAAACATACGAAAACTGAGAGGAGCTGCAGCATTAGAATTTCTGCACCAAGAAGAAAACAAAGAACATAAAGCACTCCGGATAGTGAAAGCCACGAACCAAAGCAGGCAAGGAACGAGGTGCCCATAAGTGTGCCGTTTTGTACAACGTAACTATAAAGATATTTCAAATAATAGCAGACTAACCCTATAGTATTCCAAATACATATTAGCTAAATCAAGTCATACTAGTACTATACAATACTGATATACCCGCTGCTCTTCATATTAAAGAGGAGTAATGCCACCATTGTAAGAACAATCATAGAGGGACCGTATAAATCGGGAGAAGGCGTCATTTGAGAGTGTCGATGAGGTATGAACGACCGTAGGAGACGAATACGCACCTGTAAAATAGGTTTCTAAGGTGGGAGAACACGTGAACAAAATGAAGTCTTCCTTCATAGCTCTTCCTGCGAAAACAGATTTTTTCAGTGTCCTACTCAAATAAGGAGAACAGTAAAATTCTAGCTGGCTAACCTGACTGGGCTCTACGTCAAAATAGGGTCGGAATACATCTATCCGACCATAAGACTTAAATGTGTCCTGCATTTGTTTTGAACCTGCCTCCCATACCTAAATATAAAAAATATCTACAGTTCACGAATGCCTCTAAGCCAGAACTGACCATATACCCAAGTTTTTCATGGAAGTCGAAACCCACGGATCCTGGTTTGGGTGTCGGATCCTGATGGCTCTTATCTGTCGAAGTTCCTAAACACAACAAGGGGTGATGCGTCTTTCTCAAATCTCACTTCATCCCAATCTCATGCCGTAGTTCTAAACCACAGGTAATTACTCAACAAATAGTAGAATGTTCACAATACCACTGTAATAACACAAATCCAGCAATGTGTCTATTGTACAAATAATGTACTTAGGATGCCCATGCTTACATCGTGCGGTCCTTAGCACATCCTCTGCTTGTTCGTTGTCCCATGACGGTTATCCACAGATGTGTTCGCATTTGCTTTAGAGCTACGATTTGAGAATTTGCTGCCACCTGCCTTCAATATAAGGGTGACATTAATTCTCTACCGCAGGTAGTCGCCGCCAACTCATGTGGACCGAATGGACCCTTATTCTCACTTGCACGACTTTCCCAGGAGGTGTCCAGCGACTTGGACGCGTGTAGCGCAGTGGCCGGAAGCGCTCTGCAAATTTCCGATCGATGAGATTGACCCCAGCGCTCCAAGCCCACCAAGCCTCCATCCTGACTGGGTTGCAAATTGGTACCAGACTTGTCTGGGGAGGATAGCAGCACTGGACCAATACATAGCTACACAACCGTGAGTCATTGAAAAAGCCAGATATACATTAAATCACCTTCAATGATGCTTAATGAAGTTGAATGTGTGGCACATTCTCGGGGATTCCTCGGGGATTGATCGACACCGAGTGTTTTCATCCTTTTTATCCAGTGATTTCCACGATTTTTCTAATTACAGTGCTGTTACCCTCACAGGTCGAGCAATAAAATAGTAATGAGATAAACGATAGTAAAACAACTATATGGGACCATAAATGCATAGAAGTACAAAGATACGGAGACGTATGAGTCATATGCAACTCACGCTGTGACCATGATGTTTAACACGCTACCCATTCACATCTTTACAGAACTGCACATTCTTTCACATGACTAGATATGTGACAAAGTTATTTTGTAAAGCTTTGTACGTTCACAAACAAACACTACAAATCCAACATACCTAGACCCATGCTGGTTGAACGTTGACGAGCGTCACTTCCCGTAAAAGTGTAGGTAGGAGGTTCCATGACTCTATGCAACGTATAGGAATAAAGTAACCAGAAAATGAAATATCCAATGAGATCGTAAACTCGAAGCAGGGAGAGAGTTTGCACCAAACTCTAAGACTGAAAGGAAATATCCAAACAAAGCAAAACTACCGGAAGAGACCAATACAAATCAAAGAGGAGATTACCGAAATGCGAAAGAAAAAAGCAAAACCAAGCCCAACTTTACTATAATCCACTGTAATCCCTTAGGTCCCCCTCACCATCCATAGCGCTAGTAATCTATTTTCTGCAACGACACGACATAGCCACAAAGTGGCAGCTACATGTCTAAGGCGAATAACTATTTATGTGGTAATATATTCCGGTTTGTGTACTCTGTTGGAAAGTTGCACAAGTGTTTATCCAGATGGTGATGGTAATGAACTTCATGCTCACTAGAGTGTTACTTTAAACATTCTAGGAAATGTTTTTGTATAGATGTAGGGTAGTTGAGCAAGTATTACTTACTTAATTGGATGCCTGGATGGCCTGTGCCGGACCTAACATTATTTACACTTTTTTGGAGTTTAGCTGGTTTAGCCGTTGTGGTTCCCTGGATTCCCGAAATCAGCCATACCAAAGTCTGCCCCAGATCGCCACAACAGACAGTTGCCGCCTTTGTGGATCAGAGAGAGATTTGCCAGCACGCGACTAGTTTGATAGCACGACGATGGTGGATCCTGGTACTGGTGTACTCTTAGCTGAGATTCCTAATGGAAACACCGGACTCCTTTTTAGCTTGGAAGACACTGCTGGCTGGATAATTCCCCCACGCTGTACATCGCAGCCCGACACCCGGGATCACCTCCCAACCACGATGACGCGGTAAGCCGTTGGGATGACCAAGTATCACTTTATTAAGCAACATAAGGCTCATAGCCTTGGCGACTTTGACAGGCCAAGTTTCGATTTCAAACAACGAACACTTAACCAGATGGTCCATGACAATCACACTCTCCAATTCAGCTGCTCCTTCATGAAGCGCTTTATCTTTATATATTGGCGAAACGGGCAGATCTTTGTGTATCCGTACAAAAGAACACCTAGACGTGTGTGCTGTCGAGCATCTCCAATCATTGAGCTAGACACATGTCTAACAACGTATTATACATGGTATATAACAGTTTGTGTGGATAGCAGCCGTTTAGTGTGAAAACCACTTGACAAACAAAATGAACACTTTTTTTAGAACGGCAGATGCTCATTGGTTTCACAACTGTCTCTTATCAGAAGAGGAAGAAAAATGGAGATTTTCGATGCCTAAAATCTCATCAGCCGACACCAACTAGGACTGAATAATTAGCAATATGTCCAAGCTGATTGTTTACCAACCGATTGTAGTATGTTAATTGAATTGACGTATCCAACTGGACTTTATATATCATCCAAAATGAGAATAAGCTCGAGATTTTCATCTCTGAGCTCAATTAAGAATGAAGCAATGTTTCGATTCCTCATTTTCTTCCAAGAAATCCAGTTCGAACATGGTGTGTGTCCCGTCTAGGTGCAAGTAACAAAGCTTGCCTTGTAACGGATTTCTCGACAGTTAAGGGANTGCTGTCGAGCATCTCCAATCATTGAGCTAGACACATGTCTAACAACGTATTATACATGGTATATAACAGTTTGTGTGGATAGCAGCCGTTTAGTGTGAAAACCACTTGACAAACAAAATGAACACTTTTTTTAGAACGGCAGATGCTCATTGGTTTCACAACTGTCTCTTATCAGAAGAGGAAGAAAAATGGAGATTTTCGATGCCTAAAATCTCATCAGCCGACACCAACTAGGACTGAATAATTAGCAATATGTCCAAGCTGATTGTTTACCAACCGATTGTAGTATGTTAATTGAATTGACGTATCCAACTGGACTTTATATATCATCCAAAATGAGAATAAGCTCGAGATTTTCATCTCTGAGCTCAATTAAGAATGAAGCAATGTTTCGATTCCTCATTTTCTTCCAAGAAATCCAGTTCGAACATGGTGTGTGTCCCGTCTAGGTGCAAGTAACAAAGCTTGCCTTGTAACGGATTTCTCGACAGTTAAGGGAGTAAACTGGTGCAACGACTAGCAACTTGTCTAATATCAGGACTCCTTATTAGTTTTTCTACCTCGTCAAAAGCTGGCTTTAGTGCATTCCGGACGCTTGGGATGCTCTACCGCACGAATAGATCGGTTCCTAGCTCCTTTTTTTCCCAAAGTATCATTGTTACGATGTTAACTTCTTTCTTGTATGTTAACCTTTTTATCATTTTGTGAGGCTTCGACATTCATGTAACCAAGAGTTCAAAAACGCTTACTTTGCCGAAATTTCCATGAGGCTGTGGAGTGCTAACCAAAATCCTGTCCGCTGTACGCTTGACGAATTTATCCCAGAAAAGCAAAAGTGCGGGTCGAGTCATGTACGCGGTGAGCTGCATGCCAAGACTCCATCTCTCGGCTTAGAGAAGAAGCCGAGCGGCCTTCATCCCAACTACTCGACTGAGCGGTTGGGCGGAGTATGGGCTCCATCGGGTATGATGGGAGCCCGTCGCCCACCGGGGTGCCACCAACGGACCGAACCCACGGTTGGGTCCGTTGGTGGCACCCATGGGCGGGTGCTGCGGCCATCACTTCGCGCACCCCTGCGCCGCCCTGTGGCTATGGCCACCGCCGTACGTCCGGACCACGCCAACATCGCCGCCTTCTCTCCTCCTTATATACCGAGATCTAAGGTGCGGCGTATAACGAACGATTTTACGGTTTTTAAGCAACATGCATCATTTCTATTTTCGATGAATAAATACCGTATAGTTTATCCAAATGCGTGGAAAAGATCTTATTTCACCTCGAGAACGATCAGTAGAAGTGACTCTTTTTTCAACAATTTGACTTGCCTCTTTCAATAATTTAAAACTTCCTCGATTTCTGTTCATCCAATACCTATTAAATAAGACTTCTCATTAATCCTTGTGTACTTTCGATGAATTTTTCTTTCTTTTTACTTTTTCTTGGAAAACATAAATATTCTGATCGCGAAGACCACTCATCGTGAACAGTCTTGACACTGGACACTTGAACAACGGCTTGTCCTCACTGATTGTGCGGGCCCCAGAATAATCACCATTTTTCGAGGATTTGCTAGCTAGGCCATTATGGTTCCCTGGAATCCCGAGGTCAGCCTGGCCACAGTCTGCCCTGGTCTTCACCACCACGACCAGTCGCAGGCTTTCTGGATCAGAGATTTGCCACCATGCGACTTTGATACTAGGACGGTGGTGGATCCTGGTTTTGGTTTACTCTCAGCTAGGCTTCCTGATGGAAACGCCGGACTCCTTTTCAGCTAGGGAGACCCTACCGGCGGGCGAATCCGCTGTACATCGCAGTCCGACACCAGAATACCCAGCCACGATGAGGCGGTAAACCGTTGGGAGGTTTCTGATATATCAAGGAAAATAAACTTGTTTTAGAAAGTCTAGATCCTTTCAACCAAATATTTGATGGGCTGCAATTTCCAATAACTATTTCTGTCTAAGGGAGAAAATGAAATCGCCCATGAACAACGCTGCAGTGTAAAGGAAAACTATAAACGGTGGCTTTGATTCCTCTGTTACGAAGCTGTTTGTTAGAGGTTTCGTTTTGCTTTGTTTCTCGGATAATAAAAAAGTAGGCCTAAAAATATCAATTTCCACAAGATCGGGCTTTCTCTGAACGCTTTTTGACGCTTCGATACTTCTTGGGGTTCCAAAACGCGATTGACATATGGTACCATAGAAGCCGTTTCCAATTACGCCACCTCATCGACTTTAGAAATAAAATTCCAAGGTGACAGCACACCTCAGTGCAGTACATGAACTATACGCACTGGTTACATTTCAGCCTGTGCTGAACAAGCCCGTCACCCATGTAAGGTCTTTGAACTGCTACAAGACGTCCAGAAGAAACTTTCCGATCTGTAAAAGCCGCTATCTACATGTGGGCAAAGATCTGGAAATATTTTAACAGAGCTGTCGCAGCAATCCAAGGAGAACTAGTTCTATCACCACGCAATGGCACATATGAGGAAAAAGAAATCCTCAAGTAGCAGCGTTACCCACACTTATATCTTAAGAATTTTGTAGACAACGGATGTTATGCCATGAACCGAATAAAAGAAGTGCTGGTAAGCACACAATAAGTGGCAATGGGTTATACAAATAGAATACGAATAAGTATTGCTGTCTAAGACAGAATCAACAATCAATAGTGGTTAAATATCTTTTTTTCAAAAATTCTCAACAGTGTCTGAAAAAGAGAAACCAACAACTACGTTGCTGTTTCTATCAAATGTATAATAAACACCTCCTAACGGTTTACCGCCTCATCCTCGCTATGAAGTGTTCCTGGGTGTCGGGCTGTGATGTACAACTGGAGATACACCCCTGGCAGGGCATCCCAAGCTGAGAATGAGTCCGGCGTTTCCATCAAGAAGCCTAGCTAAGAGTAAACCAATACCAGGATCCACCTCGGGCCTCGTACTAAAGTCGCATGGTGGCAATTCTCTCTTTGATCCACAAGGACTGCGACTGCTTGCGGTGGTGAAGACCTGGGGCAGACTTTGCCCAGGCTGACCTCGGGTAACCAGCAAATCTCGGAAAATGGAGATTGTGTTGGGGCCCGCACAACCAGTAAGGACGGGCCATTCAAGTTTTATGTAGTTAAGTGTAATAAACCACAATAACTAACCACACCCGATGCTGGAAAGTTTATGAACACAGACCACTTTATCCGTCCTTCCACTCAATCAGGACTGTTTGAATAACGAATCAGCTCATCTTCTACTTCCTGAAGATATCCTGACCCTCACAATTTTCTTTCCAAGTTTCATCATCGTAGCCTTCGAGCAGTTTGGTCACTGCTGTCATTTTTAAAGTTTGATTAACCACATTTGATAAGTGTCGCTTAAATTCAGATTATGGTTAATAAAGTGATATTTATTATGCCTTTACGTCGATAATTATTGCAATTATTAAACTATTAATTAATATTTACTGCGCTTTTGTCTAATATTTATTATTTACATCTGTACATGATTCTCCCGAACGGAGAAAAGTGAAAATTGGTAGTGAAATGGCCACAGTCCTCCTTCTTCTTAAAGGCAACTTCGCAGTTTCAGTCCACACTTGTGATTACGCAATTTGGATCGACACAATTCGTTCTGAGCTGCATCGATACGGTCGCTCAAGTGTTGAAGACGTTCGCACTTCTTCGGAAGGAATAGCCAATTGGGAGACACGATAAGTTGTCTTTATTTGGCTCTTTTGACTGGTAGGCAGAGCGTATTTTAACGCTTTAGAGGATGATGTCGAAGCACTCGGCAGCGAAGTTGAATGCTTTAATGACATCTCAGGGCAGCACGGTTTTTGGGGATCGTTTTTACGTAAGGCTTCTTCATAAGTGGGAAGTTCATTAGCAGTAGATACACCAGGAGAGGTTTGCGATATACAGTATGAATACGACGGTGGATTCTGAAACGTGACAAATTTGTACATAACCAAACTTAGTACGTACAATATTTCATTATTATAGAGCTTCCCATATTTGAACTTCTGTGGAAATCCATTATGCAGGTTCTGTGAGTGTTGATATGCAGAGAATTCCAAATTATCATAAGTGGTTAACGCAGGTTATTAAACTCATAGTATGTATGAGGATAATTCGACAAATTCATGACGATGCCCAGTGTTATGGGGTGGATGCATAGGACGACGCCTAATTTTCGTGCCCAACGATGTGCATTGAAAGCAATGCGACCCGGCTGCACCGCCAACTCCCTTAAGAAGCGCCTTGCGCACTCCTTTCCTTGGTCAATTTCGATGCTTTCCAATGTTTTGTGTGTCCGCAGATTTCATGTGGTTAATTTAATTCACAACGATTTGAAAAGAATGAATTACCAATTAATGATTATAAATGGAATAATACAAGCTTGAATTCTGTTGGCACGGGACAGAATCACCCTCATTTTGATGACCTTTTGCAATATGATTTTAATGATGCTTAGATATT